AATGTTCCTATGTTAACATTTTGCCACTTTTCCTTTATCATACTCTGTGTGTGTGTGTGTGTGTGTGTGTGTGTGTGTATTCGTGTCAGGGCTTCCCAAGACCATGCCCCGGTTTGGTGATTCAGTAGGAGGACTCATGAGATTCAGCATATAGTTGTACTCAGCTAAAATTTATTACTGGAAGGATAGATACATGATAGGATCAACAGAAAAAAACGGACACAAGTGAAATCTGGAGAAATTCATGCACAGATTTCCTTATGCTTTCCACCTCCCTTGAGCAAAAGGAAAAGGCACATGGGACACAGTCCAGAGGAAACCAGACACAAGCTTCCAAGAGTCTTCTCCCAGTGGAGTCACACAAGATGAATTTGATTCCTCCAGCAATGAGTTATGACAACATGTGTGATGTATTGTCTATCAGGGGAGCTCATTAGAAACTCAGTGCCCAAGGTTTTCACTGGGAGCTGGTCATGAGTTACCCTCTACCTAGCATGTTTCAAAATTCCATTCTCTCTGAAGGAATGCAGCTTCTCAGCATAAATCATGTTGTGTTGTACAAACAGTTTAGACCCAGTGAACTGTTCTTATAATTTAGAAAAGGTGCTATATCAGTGTACGGAACTGTTTACCAGCCAAGTTTCCAGATGCTAGTTAAGGGCCAACCTTGCAATCAGGTCTTTCTAAAGCCAGGCAGTCTCAGGCCTACTATGTTAACTCTTTCCTGTACAAAGGCATATAAGAGAAAGGCATTCCCTTATATAATGACAGTATCATTATCAAAATCACGAAATTAATACTGAAACATTCCTATTAACTATTTCACAGACATTATTCAAAGTTTGCCAATTGTCCCACTGACATCCTTTAAAATAAAATTTAAACCTTTTTTTTTTCTGGTACAGGATTGAATCCAGGATCACATGTTGCATTTAGTTGTCACGTTCCTTTAGTCTCCTTAAAAGTGGATTACTTCCTCAGTTTTTCTTTGTTTTGTTTTTATGACCTTGATGTTTTGGAGGAGCATAAACGTTTTGTTTTGTAAAATGTCCCACAGTTGGGATTTGTCTGATATTTTCTCATGATTAGATTCAGTTTATGAATTTTTGGCAGAAACACCACAGAAGAGTTGTTGTATGTTTATCAGTTCATCACATCAGAAGGCAGGAGATATCAGTTTTCCCTTGTATTGTTGATGTTAATTTTATCCAATTGTTAAGGTGGTGTCCACCACGTTTCTCCACTGTAAAGTTACCCTTTTTCCCATTATAATTAAGAAGTAATTTGTGGGGAGATCCTTAGATACTATGTAAATATGGTGTTCTTCATCACATTTTCACCCATTAGTTTTGTTTTTTAAGAACTTTTAGTGGGGAACGGTGTGTTTTTCCGCGATCCATCAGCTCCAAGTCAAGTAGTTGTTTTAATCTAGCTGTGGAGGGCATTTTTCCAGGAACCATCAGCTCCAAGTCAAGTAGTTGTCTTCAGTCTAGTTGTCGAGGGCACAGCTCCTTGGCCCATGTGTGAATCAAACCAGCAACCTTGGTGTTATGAGCCTGCGCTCTAACCGCCTGAGCTAGCCAGCCGCTCCTCACCCATTAGTTTTAGTACCCATTGATGATTCTTGCCTGAAATAATTATTAGAGGTGGTTGCCAAATAGTGATTTTCTAATTCTATCATCCCTTCTATATTTATTAGTTGGTGTTCCTCTGTAAGGAAAACTTTCCTGTTGTCCTCCATTTATTTATTTAGATCAGATTGGACTCATGGATTCTTTTTAAATTCAGATTCATTCAGTGGAGGGTAAAACAAGATGCTCCAGGCTCATCTTGTGCTTTCCTTGCCCCAGCCCTGGAATCAGGCATGTCAACAAGAAGCCCTGGTTCCCATTAGTGGAAAATGGTAATTAGACAAGAGAACTAACTTAGAGGCACATGAATTAGAAAAGAATAAAGATATCTCTGTTTGTAGATGATATCATTTTGTACCTGGCAAACTCTAGAGAATCAACTGTAAAACTAACTCTAACAACAAAAGTCTTCAGCAGGGCGGGCCGAGTGGCACAATGGTTAAGAACTGGCTTGGGATGCCAGAGGACCCCGGTTCGGATCCCAAGAGGGCCCCGGTTCGGATCCCACATATGAGGGCCAGTGACACTGCCCTCTACAGCTAAGATGCTGAACAACAGCTCAACCTGGAGCTGGGCTGCAGTGAGTCGCCTGCGACGGCGTAGGCTGCAGCTCCTGTGGCAGGGAGTTGCCATGGGCTACCGTGTATAGCCAGCAGCCAGCGTGAGCAGCCAGCAGCCACAGAGAGCGGCCACCCAGAAGCCGGAGACTGATCTGCCTCGCCTGGGAAGAGCGCAATGATGGTTCCAACTTGGGCCAGTGAAGCAACGTCCTCCACAACTAGACTGAAGAACAAAAGGACAGCAACTTGTCTGTTCCCCTTCCCCCAATTCCCCAGTGCTGTTCCCATCCCCCCAATTCCCCAATGAAAAATAAATAAAAGAAAAAAAGAAAAGTATTCAGCAAAGTGGAAGGATATTAAATTAACATAGAGAAATCAATGGCCTTCATATATACAAATAACAACCAGTTAGAGGATATAATAACAGAGAAACCCTCATTTACAATAGTAACAAAGAAGATAACATACCTTAAGAAGGAGCCTAACAAGAAATGTGAAGAAAAAACCAGTGAGAAAAATTTTAAAATGTATTTGTCAAAACCCAGCAATCTTTACAGTACACACACAAAAATGCATCTTAATGTTATGAAAAAATTTAAAACTCTACCAGGAGATCAGGGAATCGCAGTATGGAATGAGGGCTGTGATAACATAATCTAACTGTATTACAAATGTATGACATAACTGGGGAGAGAGAGAGAGAGAGAGAGAGAGAGAGAGAGAGAGAGAGAGAGAGAGAGAGAGAGGGAGGGAGGGAGAGAGGAGATATGAAATGGAAAATGCAAAGTATGCTATTCTTCATAGAAGGTAAATAAGATAATATACATATATCTGCTCATTTGCGCAAAAAGAAATGCAGAAAGGATAAACCAGAAAGTAAATAGGTTACTTTAACAAGGGTGGGAAGGGCAAAATGGAGTTCAAACAGAAACAAAGGAACCTAACTGTATTTCAGATGAATCATACAGCCTCACTTAAGGGGGCAGGGAGGGGGAGAGCTAATCCATGTAATTTTGAACACAGTATTTTGACTGCCATCATATTAAAGACAAAAGGAACTTCATCGAATATTGAAGCTATAGTAGGCTTGTTAAACACAGCATTTGAACACAGACCACCATGAGCCTCAAGACAGAAGAAACTATATTGCCCTCTAGTTGGTAGATTTGTTTTCCACAGTCTTATGACTTAGCAATTCTGGTTATTTGATGTGTATTATGTGTTTACACCAATAAGTACATTTATTGTGGATAATGAGAGCCAGATTTCTGTTGGAGAAAGAATTTATAAACACTATGGAAAGTGAGAAAATTAGAATGAGCCTTCTATTGTTAGGTTGCAATGGAAGGTATTAATAATGAATTTATGTCCTTAAAATATATATATATTATATATATATATATTATATATATGTCCTTATATATATATATTTATTAAGGATATATATATATATATATGTGTGTGTGTGTGTGTGTGTATATATATATATATATACCTATAGCAAAATATATAAATAGATATAGATGTGTGTAAACATGGATTAGAATACAAACATGTATTTCCTAGCTCTGTACACTGAGAGGGCCTAGAAGGAATTACATTCTAGTAGCAATGAACACTGGGGCTGAAAAAGAAAGTGAGTCTGGAGCATCTTGAAGTGCCAGAAAAAAAGTGATAGGGGCATGTCAAAGGGACACAGAAGTCAACTTAAAGAGCTCCCACTGGCCAAATCTGGGACAATTTGAACGTCAAAGGAAATGATAGTGACTGATTATAATTCATTGAATAAAATAATAACATGAGTCTGTACAGATATACATACATACATAAATGGGGGAGAAGAGGAAGCTCTTCCTTACAATAGAATAGCAACTAATAAATATCAAAGAAATGTTGGTGTTATAAAATCATCAATGGATGCTGAAGCCATAGGTTCAAAAATTTTATGTATAGTGAGAGAATGATAAAGCAAAAGTGGCAAAATGTAAACAATGATGAATCTGGGTAAAGGGCACATGGAATTTCCTTGTATTATTCTTGCTTTTCTGTACATGTAAAATATCAAAATTAAGTCCCCCTCAAAGAGAAACAAAATAGGGAGTATCCTAGTACCTGTATGTTGTTGTTAAACACGATAGTTTTTTTTCCCCAAATAAAAACTGCTTGGGTGGCGGGGTTTGCAGAGGGGGTCTAGAAAGCACAAGAGAGGCATAATGCATACTACACTTTAATATTTATTTGAACGTTCCTGGTGTTTCGCCACCCTGTTTTTGTTTTTTAATGAAGCTTTTTCATTTGATTCACTGCCATTCTTTCCTCTCAAGTATTTTAAAATTATTGTTGGCGACACCCTTTACCTAACATGATGTATATACAGCATCATGAAAGAAAATCAGCGTCAAATGTGAAAAAAGAAACAGACCAAGGGCTTCACAAGCGGCGGGATTCCCATTTGGAGTCACCCGAAGGAGGGCGGGATCAAGACCCGCGCAGAGCTTCCGCTTTCATTTCATAAGTCAACCATTCTCATTAAAGGAGAACCGTAGAAGGGTGATTTTCTGTCGGCAAACACTTCCTTAGCGACGAGTCCACCCATGACACAGGGATGGAATAGTATTACATCACAATGGGTAGTCTACGAGAGCACAAAAACCAGATCAGGTTACCTGGACTCTGGTAAAACACTAAATTGCAATTCGCGTGACCTGTCAGGTTCATTCTCTTCTCTCCATCTCCAAAACGCTGAACTACCGGAGTAGACTTCTCTCCCTCGATTCCTGGCCAGTGGTTTGCTCCGACCCGCATACTGACAGGAGGGACGCGCTGCGTCTGCGCAGAAACCTGTCAGGGGGGTGGGGGGGAGGAACATGGCGCAAGCTCTATCTGAGGAGGAGTTTCAGCGGATGCAGGTGCCGTTCGCTGGAAAAAGACCACCGGGCTGGGCAATGCGGGGGCGGGGTAGAGAGAGGTCGTGCCTTGAGTTCTGAGAATAGGTTGGTTGGGATAGACCTTGAGTCTAGGGGGTTGGTCCGGAGAAGGGAAACTGAGGCTCTGAGTAGTGAGACTTGGATTCGAGATACTACTGGGCTCGGAGGGGTTGGATTCTGTAAGCCTTGTGGGCGGAGGAGAGAGTCCTAGAGTGGGGGATACCTTACTCAGACCTGGAGGGGACGAGACATTTGAGCCCGTGCGAGAGACACCATGGGTGGGTGATGATAACGTTAGACTCCAAGGGAAGGAGACCCTGAGAGGGAGAAACCATTTTGGTATGGAGAGGAAGGAAGTGGGCATTGGGCCATTTGCGTCATGGTGGGGGGAGCCCTTGAGAGGGCAATACCATCCCGGTGGGAGGTGGAAATTTTTGTGGGAGATACCACTGTGCCAGGGGATTGGAGAAAGACACCACATGTTCTCATTGTTCCTGAGAGAGGGAGATCCTCTGAGTGGTGGTAGTGGATCCTAAGAGGGGCTGGTACCATTGGATGATTAGGGGTGATCCCATTAGGCCTGGGGTGAAGAAGTTCCTGAATAGGTAATACTATTAATGCCTGTTGGAATGAAGACCAAAGGAGGTGAAAGAGTGATACTTTGGACTGCATGAAGTAAAGATCACTGGGCTTTGGGGAGGTACCCTGACGGGGTACTCTGACCACTTGATTCTGTGTGTGTGTGTGTGTGTGTGTATGTGTGTGTGTGTGTGTTGGGGGGGTGCTCTGAGATGGTATGGAGGCCAGAGTGGGCCCTTGTTGAGAGAGTTCCTTACTGGGAAAGACCATTGGATTTTGTGTGTGGGGAGACTGAAAGGGGAAAACCCTGAGTAAGGTCTTATGGGATGAGAGGAAGAACTTCAAGTGAGGACAGAATCCATTGGTTCTTGAATGAGGGAAACCAGTTGTCCCTGTGTGAGGGACCCTGAGGGTATAAAGGTGAGATCATTGGATTGTGAAAGGGGACTACCCCTGTAACTTGTGCAGGGGGTAGTAAGAGTAATGCAACTGGCCCACCCAAGGCCTTGTGAGGAAAGACTCTGAAGGATATAGTGCCATCCCATTGGATCATGACTGGGGAGATCTTGAGGGGTGTGGGGACCTTTGAGTGAGGAAGATTGATTCCGTTGGGTCATGAGTGGGGGAAAAACAATTGGGATCTGATGGATAGGAACTCCAGTGGGTGCCAGGGTTGTACCAATTGGATCAAGACTGGGGGAGATAAATCATTGGGCCTGGGAGAGGACAGAGACAGAAAAGATTCTGTAAAGGCCAAGCCCTCTGACCTTTAGCATAACACCAGGGGGTGGAGGCTGGTGCCATAGGAAGGAAAGGTCCTGGTGGGGTAAGGTGCAGTGGTTCTGGGAAGAACTGGCCTCGGTGCCCTACAGGGCTTGTAGGTAGGTGTATGCTGTTTGACATGGTCCATACTTCACTTTCCCTCAGTTCTTGAAAGGGGTTTGGCCATGTTTATAGAGCCTTGGGGGTGGGGAACCCAGGCAGCCCCTTTTTACTTGGTGAAATTGGTCAGTAGAATACCAGGTCCTCTTCACTTGGGAAACATGGAGGAAAGCAAGCCCCTACCTCCTCCTCTGGCCAAGAGGATAGATAACACTCACCCCTGAGAGAAAGACAGAACAGTGTTTAGAGTGTGACGAGGTCAGCCAGGAGGAGGAGGAGGAGGAGGAACTTTATCTTGTGGGCGTGCAAGCCATAGAACACTTATGAGTGAGAGCCTGACTGGGTCAGTACTCTGTCATGGCCTGAGTGCATAGTGGATTGGAAGGGGAGAGATGGAGGCAGCAGGGAGATGGAGAGGTGAGGCTGGCTGTGGTTATAAGTAGAACTGGAGAAGGTGGGGTAGGGGCTGAGGTCCTGGGAGCTCATTTAGGATGCAGCATGCACAGGTCTTAAGGAGTGACTAAAGAGGCACACAGAGGGCAGCAGGGTCTGTGGGGCTCAGGGGATTGTTACACTCATGGTAAGGATAGGGTCACTTACCTCACTAAATCATTCTCCTTCCTTGCTTCCCCCAAAGGCTCAGCTCCTGGAACTTCGGACAAACAACTATCAGCTTTCAGATGAACTACGCAAGAATGGTGTTGGTGAGCCAAGAGTGTCTCATTAGATGGGGGTGGCTTTGGGGGACAGAGGCCCAGGGAAAACAGCTCAGAGGCCTGGCGGGAAGACCTTTCATCTCCTCGCCACTGACTGAGGCTGCGACTCCCTGCTTTCCCCATACCAGAACTCACCAGTCTTCGACAGAAGGTCGCCTACCTGGATAAGGAATTCAGCAAGGCTCAGAAGGTACTTCCTTCCACACACTCACCTACCCATGCTTCTCTGTAGCCATCTGACTCATTCATCAATCCAGTGAGCACCTACCATGAACCAGACCTAATGTTACATGCTGTCATTAATTATTCAAAAAATTCTCATGGAAGTCCCTTTAGTTTGCTAATTTTATCAAATTCTGCTTAATTTATTGATCAACTTTAATTTCCTCTTAATTCATTTTTAATTTCAATTACTCATTCACTACCTTTTAACTAAAGAGTCAAATCTAGCAGTAAATCTGCCTTGAATCTGCCACCTTGCCTCCACTCTCCTGCCCTGTGCTCCTACTTCCCATCCCTGTCCTGGTCCTGGTGGTAAAGTGAGACTGAGCCTACCTCTCTTATCCTCTGAAGATGAGATAGCATATCAGCTATTGTGACCTTCAAGGCATTCAAGGCCTTCCTTTGTTTCTTTACTGCTCTGTCTCCATGTGTAGCACAATGTTATACATAGTGTGGTGCTCCATAATAATTTGTTAGATGAAAGAATAGAGAATGCAGAAAGTCCTGTATTCTGGAAGCTGGGCTTCTCTTTGGTAGGGTGCTGATTCACCAACCTGACAATGCCCTAGGCTGCTCAGTAGAGGAACTGAGATCCCTCAATAGAGGGATCCAAATAGATGTGTTTGAACAGATGTAGCCATGAAGCCACAATGTCTGAGCCTGGAGACCTAGCCCATGAAGAGTTAAATACTTAGTCCTATGAACAGCCTCAAGAGCTTAGAAGAAAGGATGTAAGCAGGATGCCACTCACTCCCTCCCTCCCTCCCTCCATTATTCCTATGGGCTACAAGTTGTCATGCAAGTTCTATGGTTGAAGATGCTCCCATCCCCCAGCCCCTACCATCTTTGTCCCCTCTTGACACTTGCCACAATGTCTCCATACTCTAGTGAGAGTGTCCCTCCTTGTTCACCTTTTCTCTCTTCCCACCCTCTCACCTTTAGGCACTGAGCAAGAGCAAGAAAGCTCAGGTAAGGGGACCCATGATGGGTGAATGTGTCTGGGAGACTGTCATAGCAAGGACATTTCTGTGCTGGGATCTCCTAGTACTGACCTTTCTTTCTCTGTGTGTGCACTTGCATCCATGACTACCTCACTGCCATGTGTTTCTGTGTCTGTCTTTGTTTTCCTGTGTTCATCTTTCACTCGGTACCTCTCTCTATGTCTTTCCTTCTCCCTTTCTCTCTCTTTATCCTTTTCTCTGACTCTCTCCATCTCTTGATTTCCTGTTCTTGTTTCTCTCCCCAACCTTCTCTTTGTCTCTCCTCTACCTGTTAATATTGCTGCCATCATTTCTCTTTTCTTCTTTTCCTTTATTTATTTCTCTTTCTGACTCCTTGTTCCTCTCTCCCCCGTTCCTCTCTCTTCCTCACTCATTTCTTTCCCTGACCCCCTCTCTCCTCTCTGTATTCCTATCTGTCTGTATTTCTGTCTTTTTCTTTTCTCTGTTTCTCCATCTCTCTCTTCTTCCCTATCTATCCCCCTTTCCCCATCTCTCTCTCTATATTATTTCCCCTATTTCTGTCTACCCCCTCTTTCTTCCGACTTTCTCCCCTCATGTCACTCTCTCCCTCCCCATTTTCCCTTCTCTCTACCCCATGTCTTTCTCCCTACCTGTCTCCTCTTTTTATCTCTCCCTGCCTCTCTCCCTATATCTCCTGATTTCACCCGCCTCATTCTCTGGACCCTATGTTCTCCCTGCCCATGTCATTTTTCTCTCTCTCTGTTCCTTTGCCCTACCTTCCCCACTCTTTCTGCCCCTGTTGGAGACCTGTCCCATGTCTGCCACTGCAGGAAGTCGAGGGGCTGCTGAGTGAAAATGAGATGCTACAGGCAAAGCTGCACAGCCAGGAAGAGGACTTCCGTTTGCAGAACAGCACACTTATGGCCGAATTCAGCAAGGTGCTGGTGCCGGGAAAGCGGCAGGGAACCCAAGGGGTAGGGGCCACCTGGGCTGAAGCTGGAGGGCAGCTAAGGATGGTTGGACAGAGGCTGGCCCTGGACCACTGTCCATGGTGCTGAAACAGGTCCTAGCTGTCTGGGGGGCAGTGATTTGACAGATGGGGCCACCTGCAGTGCTGGGATTGGAAGGCTGGAAACCCTGAGGTCAGCTGGTTCCTGACCAAGTCACTCCTTTTCTCTGAGCTTCAAGTCTCCTTGTATAGTGTATATTTTGGGGCTGATGCTATGGAGCCCCCGGATGTTGGTGGGTCTTAGGTAAAATTATTATGTTTAACATGGGATGGAAAGATGTTGGAGCTGCTTCTCTTTTCTCTTGCTTCCCTTCATTTGACATGACCCTGGGGTTCTTGTTCTACATATTTCATCCTGGATTAGATAATTCTGTCTCCTCATTGATTTTAGCGTCCTGGCTGTTTCTAAACCTACTGGGCAGTTGGAGACATTGTCTTTCATTCCCATCTCTCTCTTTTTTATCCAAGCTCAATCATTTTCTAAGTTTTTAGCATGTTTTAAGAAAAAAAGTCTTATGGCAACAAAAATGGTATTTCCAAAGCTCCACATGAGAATATAGTGCTTAAGACTTTAAAAACAAAACAAAATTAAAAAAAACAACAACCTTTAAGCAGGTATAATACCAGGAGAGGCGGTTTGGCAAGTAGTAGTTAAGAGCTAGGACGCCTAGGTTAAACTTGGCTTTACCTTTTACTAACTATAACCTTGAGCATGTCACTTGACCTGCCTGTTTCTTGGTTCCCAAATGTTTAAAATGGAAATGATGATAATGACAGTACCTGCCTTGCAGGGCTTTTGTGAGGATTAAATGGGTAAATGTCTGTAAACCACTTAGAACAGAGCCTTGCACATAGTATCAGCTATGTAGATGTTAGCTACTAATAGTATCCTTTTATTAATTCATTTTCCCTCTAAATAAATATTTCTTAACCGTTTCAAAGTTTTATATCTATCCTGTGGCCCTTTCCACCTCTAACTTGCTCTATTCCTACAGCTGCCTCACTGGTCTCCTCACTTCTAGCTTCTTCTACCACACTAAGCCCTAGAGATTGTTCTGGCCTGCAGCTCTTACCACATTACTCCTTTAAACGGTACCTCCCAATGGGTCCTCGCCCTCTACAGTTCAGAGGCCCCAGTACTCACATAACAACTGACATCACCACCTCGCTCTTCACTGCTTCCTGTCTCCAGACTCAGTGGTATCATGGTTCTTGTGGTGGGGGAGGAGAGGCAGGGGCAGGCGTTCCTCCACAAATCCAGCTTGTGTTGCCCAGCACCTGCCCTGGGTTAGGCACTGGGCCAGGTATAGAACCTCCTTCACACTCCCCTCCTCCTTCTGGAGCTAGAAGTGCTCACAGAGAGACCTGGGTTCAAGGCCTGCCTCCCCCCCCTTATTTGCCAAGATATTTCAGCTCGGTGTTCCTTCAACAAGTAGTTACTGAGCACTCACTATGTGCTCAATGTTCTGGAAATAGTTGTAAGCAGCACAAAATTGTCCTTACTCTTGGGGAGCTTACATTCTGGGGGTGGGACAGGGAGAACAATAATAACATAATGAACAAATAATAATAGTACTGACAGCTGTGTTTACTGTGTACCTGGTCCTGTTTACTGTGTGCCAGGTCCTGTTTGATAAGCTTTACGTTATTCACTCATTTAATTCTCACAGCAGCCAGTGAGATATTAATAGCATCCCATTTTAACAGATGAGGAAAACTGAGCCCCAGAGAGATGAAGTAGTTTGTCCTAAAGTCACATGGCTAGTAAATCCAGAGTAGAAATTCATATCCAAGCCGTCTGGTTTCAGACTCTGTGCTTGTGACCCTATGTTACAAAATAAAATTTAATTGTCAATCACAATTTATGTTCCAGAATTTTCCACAGCTTTAAGAAATTAAAAAGATATTAGTTAAATGTAATTGTGATTAGTGCAAGGTAAGAAGAAATGAACAGAGTGCTGTGGTAGAGAGTATTGGAATTTCTGTGTTGGGGGCTACTACTTGAAAGGTGACATTTGAACAGAGCACTGAAGGATGCAAAGAAGCCAGTCATGTGAAGAACTGGATGAAAGGAATAGTGTTCTGGGTAGAAAATATCCCAGGCAATAAAATAAGAATTCCCGAGGGCCTCAGTATTCTCATCTGAAAATGGGACAAAGGATCTTGCCAAGTCTGCTGTAAGAACTGTGGTTTAGCCAGGAGTTGAGCAAGGGGCTGGCTTAGTTTTAGCATTGTACACCTCTCCAAGGCCAAAGGCTGATGATAGGGGGCTGTGGGCAATGCTGTTCCTGGAAATGCCCTGAAAGCTGTCTGTGGTGCCTAGACTCCCAGGTACAGACCCCTTCACAGAAGAGGGCTGGTGTTGGGGTTCTCCGTGATGCTGACATCTTCGACCAGCAACATCCAGAGGAGCCTGAGGTCTTGGATTGCAAATGTGAGATTGGAGTGGGCAAGCAGAAAATTGTTCTCAGTATTCTCAATCCTCTGTGACTGCCACTTAACAGATGTGTGAATTTGAAGTTGTTTAACATCTGTGCCTCAGTGTCCTTATCTGTGAAGTGGAGATTATGAATAAAGAGAACATCTACGTCACAGGGGTGTTATGGGAATTAAATGAATTGTAAAGTGCATGGGCCAAGTGCTATGTGTATATCAGCAAATATTGTTCTGATTCTCTGCTTTTCTGCTGCTCCCTTGTTCTTCCCCTGTTCAGCTCTGCAGCCAGATGGAACAGCTGGAGCTGGAGAACCAGCAACTGAAGGATGGGGCTGCCAGGGCAGGAGATGCCCAAGCTGGGAGCCTTGTGGATGGGGAGCTGCTGAGACTGCAGGCGGAAAACACGGCCTTGCAGAAGAATGTGGCAGGTGCATGGAGGCCGTCCTGGGGATGTGTAGACCTTGGGGCTTGAGTAGGGTGTTTTCCCCCCGGGGAAAGGTAGAAAGACTTCAGAATCGAGCTTGGCCCTTCGATGAACCCCAGTGTATGACTTTGGACAAGCCATTTCACCTCTCTGAGCCAAAGCTTCCTCATCTACAAAGTATGTGTAGTGATGTCCACCACCTGGAAGACTAGTAGAGATAAAAGATGGTATCTTTGTGAGTTTAGTTCAATGCCTGGGACTTAGCAGATGCTACAGATTAGTAGATTGAACATCAGAAGATGTTTGCTGCACAGAGAAGGGGAATGAGGGGGCATTGGGAAGATTCTGAGCCCAGATTGTCAGTGGGGTCTGGATAAAAGCTGAGAGAAAGCTTGGTAGAGTGTGGGACGGTCCTGATGTGTAGACTTTTGGATAGCTGCTGGGGCTTGTGGGATGATGAGTGGTAATTCGGTGATCAGCAGGGAGATTTTGTAGAATGTGGCTGGGGATCAGGAGGTTATAGGAAGGATTTAGCTGTAAGTAGGAACTGGAGGATGGTGGGCATGACCTTGAAGGGCTGTGGGTGGGGCTTGGGAAACCAGCTTGGTCTAATTTGATGGTAGTCAGGATTTCTGTGGTTGCTGGGGCTTAAAAGATTTGAGACTGGTATGGATGGGGCTGAACCTTTGTTTTGTAGGCTTGTAGTCATTTGGGGCAGGGTCTTTGCTACCTGAGGTGTTGAAGACCAATTCTCCCTCCATTTGATACATGACAGGGGTCTTCGGAGACCCAACATATATCTCTGTTCTACCCACCAGCCCTACAGGAACGCTATGGGAAAGAGGTTGGGAAGTACTCAGCTGCCAATGAAGGCCAAGGAGAGCCCACAGGGGACCTATCCTCCACTGTCCTGTCCCCCATGCCATTGACAGAAGTGGAGCTGAAATGGGAAATGGAGAAGGAGGAAAAGAAATTGCTCTGGGAGCAACTGCAAGGCCTGGAGGTGAATCTGGGTCTGTTGGGGCTGGGGTGCCAGGTGGCAGGCAGATGCCCTAGCTCTGCCTATGGTCCCATGGAGACGTCTGTGACATCACCATCTTATGGTCTCATGGATTAGGGAGGCAGAAGGGCAGGGAAAGGCACATGCCTTACCTCCCCCTTTGCTGTTAACAGCCCCTTCCCATATCCTTTCCTGCAGAGCTTGAAGCAAGCGGAAACGTCCAGGCTACAGGAAGAACTTGCTAAGGTGGGGCTGCCAAGCTTTCCCTGGCCTTTGTCACATCCCACTTCCTACCTGCCATGCTTCCCCCAGCAAGGCAGAAGCTGGTAGAGGACCTCCTCCTAGCCTCAGCTTTGTCATTTTTGAAATGGAGAAACTCACACTTTCCAGAGTTGCCTTCAATATGGAATGGGCTAATGTGGTCTCACTATGTCTTGTGCGGGATGGTCCTCATTCCTTTCTTCTGTGTCCTCCCAGCTCTGCTTGTTCATCCATCCATCCATCAACCCAAGAACTTATAGACTGCTGGTACTTATCTTAGGAACTGGAGACCCAGTGGTGTGACAGCCAATTACGATCCTGCTTTCCAGGCCTCCCAGCCTAGCCATTTTATGACATAGCCATCAGTTGATATGTTGGGGACATAAATGCTGGGCTTTGGAGCCTGAGGGAGCTGGGTGGAGATCATGTTGTTGCTTTTGACCAGCTGGGCAACCAAATGACTGAACCCTTCTGAGACTCACTTTCCCCATTTGTAAAACATGTAATATTCACCTCTTGGGACTGTTTTGAGGATTCCGTGAGATAACATAAGTAAATTCAGCTTCCAAAAAGGACTTAGTAAGAAGTGTCTGTAAATATTAAGTTTGTTTTTGTCTTTACTAATATTACTCTCATTGTTATCACTTGTCTGTATCCCCCTGCCCCACCCCAGCTCTCCGAGAAACTGAAAAAGAAACAAGAAAGGTAAATTTTTTTCCAGAGGTGGAGGAAAGGATTTGGGGGAACTAAGGAGGGGATTGACTTGTGGAACTGATGCATCTATGTCTGTCTTTCTGTGCCCAGTTTTTGTCGTCTGCAGACAGAAAAGGAGACGCTATTCAATGACAGCAGGTAACTACCAGGGTTAGGGTTATTGGTGGACAAAAGGGACAGTGCCCAGCAGAATTAACTGAAGACCACAGGGGCAGAGTTGGTAGACTAAGCCTCAGGCCATGGTCAATGCCTCCCCCACTCCACCCACCCCCCGGCCCGTCACCCCCAGGAACAAGATTGAGGAGTTGCAACAGCGGAAGGAAGCTGATCTCAAAGCCCAGTTGGCTCGAACTCAGAAGCTGCAGCAGGAACTCGAGACTGCCAATCAGGTGAGGAGCTGGGTTCGGAATCGCTGGGATAGGGATGAGGGCTGGGAGTCTGGGGGGACTCTGAGGTCTACAGAGACTATTTGGAGAGTCTGAGATTTCTTGTGTTGGAAATATAGGGACTAGGTGGGTCCTGGTCCTAGCTCCCCTAAGGAGCTAGGAAAATGGGAACTAGGGAGCCCCAAGAGCCCTTGGAGTAGGACTCAGAGTCTGAATGAATCAGAGATCTCAGGGGACTGAGGGCTTGGGGTGGTGTGCCACAAGTTTGGATGAATCTGCAACCCTGGGAGATTGTGGAGACAGGAATCGAGAAATTTGTGGTCATCAGGGACTGGGATTAGGAGCTGGAGTGAATCTGAACTCCCTGGAGGTTGGGTGACTTTGAGACCTATCGAAACTGAGTAGATACAAGACTTTAAAGGGTGAAACAGTTGGGCCTGGAGGCTGAGTGCATTTGAGACCCTCAGGGTATGAGGGCTGGTTTGAGTCTGAGACACCTGGGAAGTTGGATCAGGTGGCTGGGTGGTCCTGAGATCCCTGGGGGCTGTGAATGGAAAACTGGTGAATCTGAGACATCCTGAGGATTGGGGGCTGAGTGACTTTAAAGCCTACAGGCCTCTCCCGAGAGTAGGTGAGTCCGAAGTCCCATGGATTGGGGGATATGGTGACTTGTGGATCTAAGGTCCCTAGAAGCTAGCAACAGAAGTCTGGGTAAAGCGAGGTCTTCGATTAGCTGGGTCTGAAGATCTCCAGAGAATGGAGACAGGAATGGCAGGTGGAGGCATCAATCTGAGACCTAACCAGGAGCTGGAAACTAGAAGACTATGAGTTTGAGACCTCTAGGGTCTGGGGCTATGAGTTTGGGTGAGTCCGAGACCCTTTGGAGCTAGGGCTGTGGGGGTTGAGTGTGGCCAAAACCCCTGGGGGTTGGGGTCCAGAGTCTGGGTGAAGCTGTAGTCCCTGGGGGCTGAAAGTGTCTGAGAATCCTGGGGTCTCCAAGCTGCAATCTGGGTAAGTGTGAGACCTTATGGATGGGGGCTGAGTGACTTTGAAATCACCAGGAGCCTAGGTGTTTTCTGAGGTGCTTGGAGCTGGGATATAGGAGTGTCTGAGGCTCCTGGGGTGATGACCTAGAGTCTTGGGTGAACCTAAGATCTCTGATGGCCGGGTAGTCCGAGTCCCTCAAGTGCTCGACACATGCTGTCCGATAGTCAAAGAGGAAATATGTATGGTTCTATGTACCCCAGAGGGGGCTGAGGTCAGGAATGAGCTCCCCTGACCTGGTCCTCACAGAGCTTAGCAGAACTGAGAGATCAGCGGCAGGGAGAGCGGCTGGAGCATGCGGCAGCTCTGCGAGCCCTACAAGATCAGGTACATTGTACTGGGTGGGCTTAGGAAGATTGGGGGGTGGGGGTGAGGGCAGTACAAGTGGATATTGTACCCACTTGTAAAGCAAGGCCTCAGGGGTCCTGCTTTCCCTCGTTGTGGTTCGTGTGTGTGTGCGTGTGTGTGTGTGTGTGTGTGTGTGTCTGTGTCCATGTCCGTGTGTCCTTTCGTTCTTGGCTGTCCCCCTGTTCTGGACCCACTCTCACCTGTTGTGGGGGTGGGGCCAGGTGTCCACCCAGAATGCAGATGCGCAGGAACAAGTGAAAGGTCTTTTGGCTGAGAACACTGCCTTGAGGACTAGCCTGGCTGCCCTGGAGCAGGTACAGGACACTTGGAAGACCTCGCTGACCCCTCCCCAGAACCCAATCTCCCTCTGCTTCTGATCCACATTTGGGCAGTGTAGTCTGGACCTCGTGCTGTTCTCCAACCTCTGTTTCTGTTTCAATCTCAGCTTCTTTCTGTTGGCTTCCACCCCTCTTCTCTTTGGCCATCCATCTCTGCTTCTTTTGCATTCTAGATTCTCTCCAGTAAAGTGCAAGAAGTGGACTAGTCTTAAGTGTACACTCAGTGAATCATGTCTATCTGTTTGTCTGTCTATCTAACTCCATGTAACCACCACCCAGATCAAGACACAGCATTTCCTGCATCCCAGAAGGTCCCTTTCACCCTATCCCAACCCATACTTCCCCCAAAGTAACCACCCCTCTAACCTCTAACAACATACATTAGTTTTGCTCGTCGTTTAACTTCATGTAAATGGAATCGGACACCCATTTTTGCATCTGGCTTCTTACCTGAAGCATTATATCTGTGAGGTTTATCCATGTGTAGTGCTGGTCTCTTCTATCTCTGTGTAGTATCCCATTGTGTGAATATACCACATTTATCCTTTCCCCTGTTGACCTTTCTCCCACTGTTTTTCTGTTTGAAATTCCTTCTCCCTCCTCCTGGCTCTTTTTCCGCTTCTCTCCTTGTCTCCCTGAAACTGGAGGTTCACATCCTGTGACTGGCCCCTGGGGCCCCTTTCACTCCACTTCCCATCATCACCACTTTCTCCAGATCCAAACAGCAAAGACCCAAGAACTGAATATGCTCCGGGAACAGACTGCTGAGCTGACAGCTGAGTTGCAGCAGCGGCAGAGTGAATATGAGGACCTCATGGGACAGAAAGATGACCTCAACTCCCAGCTCCAGGTAACACCTCTGGCTCTGACCTGTCTTCTCTTAGTTTCCTAATGCTGGCTCAGTGGAGTTTGCCATGAGGTATAGTAGGAAGACTGTAGAGTTAGGAGGACCTGGGTTTCAGTCTGGCTCCCTAACATATTAGCATGTGTGTCCTAGACAAAGTCATTTCACTTCTCTGAGACAAAGCCTCTTCAGTTGGTTAGGAGAGCCATTCTGAATCCGTTACACTGGGAGTGCCAAAAAAATGTATACAAGTGGTCACTTTGGTCTATGTTGTTTAATTAGTAGTTCGCCATAATCAGAAGTGTCTGGATGCTGATGGCAACCACTTTGAGTACCTCTTGTAATTGCAGAAGTCAAACATGACTTGTATTCATCTTTTGTTATCGGTCTATATTGAATATTACAATTTTAATACAGTCTTCCTTTCTTAAAATCTATATGCAGTTTTTGGCACCCTCTGTCGATAGTAGAATAATAGTGGTTTCTAGTAAATAAGACAGAAGTTTAGCTATATCTCATGTAAGAGTCTACATAGGTTGCCCAAGGATGGGATGATGGCTTTCTGATCACCAATGGTCCAGGTTCTTTCCGCGTTGCTATTCTGCCACCTTCAACACAAGACTATCTTGGCATCAAAGATGCTTGCTCAATCTCCCTTACCATCATGTTTGTGTTCCGTCTGGAAGGAAGGAGGAAAGGGTGAAAGGCCCAGCATGCCCCTTTCCTTTACAAGAACATAACCTATATTATACTCACCACTTCTGCAGAAATTAATCCTGTGGCTGCACCTAACTGCAAGGAAGGTTGGGAAATGTCAGCAAGATGACCATGTGCCCAACCACAAAGTCTATTACTAGGGAAGAAGGAGAAAATGAATACTGGAGAGCAGCTAGCAGTCTCTACCATGTTTCTCATCTAGAAATGGGGAAGACAACACCCACTTTCCAGGGTTTAGGGAGATGGTTTACCAGAAGTGTCCTGGTGACTGGCACCTCCTGGGAGTACTTTATCAAACTCACTCCCTTTGTTCCTGCTTTAGGAGTCATTACGGGCCAATAGTCGGCTGCTGGAACAACTTCAAGAAATCGGGCAGGAGAAGGAACAATTAACCCAGGAACTCCAGGAGGCTCGGAAGGTGGGCGGTACTGGGAGGCTTCAAGGGGAGAATTGGCTTGGTCCACGGGGATGGAGCAGGTGATGTGGCCAAACCCATGGGACTAGATGGGGATGGAAAGTGACCGGTTCCATGAGGATGGGTGAGTGATAGCCAGTTTTGTGGGGGTGGGGTGGAGGTGGAGTTTGACTCGTTCTTTGGGCCTCAGAAGAAGGTGGTGGGCCTTGTTTGGCGTTGGGAGAGGAGTTTGACTGACATCTTCCTCTCCCACTCTCCTGGCCCCCAGAGTGCTGATAAGCGGAAGGCCATGCTGGATGAGCTAGCCATGGAGGCGCTGCAGGAGAAGTCCCAGCACAAGGAGGAGCTGGGAGCCGTCCGACTTCGGCATGAGAAGGAGGTGCTGGGGGTACGCGCCCGCTATGAGCGTGAGCTCCGTGAGCTGCATGAAGACAAGAAGCGGCAGGAGGAGGAGCTCCGTGGGCAGATCCGAGAGGAGAAGGTGGGTGGGTAGATGATGAGGCACTTCCACCTCTAAGATTGGAGGAGCACAGCACTACTGATGGGCCTGGAGATGGCCTGGGTGAGGTGCCCACTTCTCCACCTGCCTGGCTGATGACGGTCTGCCCTCTCCTAGGCCCGAACACGGGAGATGGAGAATCTCCAACAGACAGTGGAAGAACTTCAAGCTCAGGTACACTCTATGGATGGAGCCAAGGGCTGGTTTGAACGGCGCTTGAAGGAGGCCGAGGTGAGTTGTCTGGTGAGGCACAGAGCCTAGTCCAATGTCACCCATGCCAAACCAGGGGACTGGGAGTGGTCAGGCCCTGGAACTTTCTGAGATGTCCTGGACTCAGGCATCTCCACAGCCCCCCAGGCTCAGCAGCAGCCTTGTGGAGGGAATCAGGGGATGGCCATCAGTAGGGCACAATGTCAGATCTGCAAATTGGAAAAGGCACCTCTCCTTGAACTGGACTTCTATCAGGAAATTATTGTAATATACTAATTTTATTTGAACAAAAACTTTTATTGCCATTTTCTGGAAAACTGATGAAAAGACATGAGTAGCAGTGTCATGTAGCCGTAAGGAGCATAGGTACTGGAGCCAGTCATTTGCCTGGGCTTGAGTCCTGACCGGGCCACTTTGTAACTGTGTAACCTGGAGCAAGTTACCTGACTTCTCTCTGTGACCTGTTTTCATCATCAGTAAAAAAGGGATAACAGTAATATCTGCTGTCTAGGTATTATGAGAGGGCGGCATATAAAATGCGTTACTATATGTAAAATCCTTACAACATTCCTGGCCTGCAGTAAGTGCTGTGTTATGTTTTATTAAATAAAATGTAAATGCAAATATCAATGTTCAATGTGAATGGTGCAGCCCTAGATGCGATACTTCTGTGTACTGCCTAAAGGCAGGCAGCATTCCCTGCAGGAGTGTTTTTTTCTGCACATCCGGGGGGCCCCTGCTGCAGCCTCTCACAACCCTAACTGGGCGTGATGTCCTCGGGGGGCGGGCGGGCGATGTCCTCTGCGGGGCTGTGGCCAGACCCCGGGTTTGTCTTGTAGGAATCTCTGCAGCAACAGCAGCAGGAACAAGAGGAAGCCCTGAAGCAGTGTCAGGAGCTGCATGCCAGCGAGCTGAAGGTGCCTATTGTATGGTGGCGTCCCTCTCGGGGGTGCAGGGGGGACAGGCTCTGGTGGGAGGCCTGAGCTTTCCCAAGCTGAGGCCTGAGCTGCCCTCTGCTTTGCAGAGCAAGGAGGAAGAGCTACAGGGTGTTCAAGATCAGCTCCAGCAGGCCCGAGAGGAGCGGGACTGCCATTTGAAGACCATCAGCAGCCTGAAGCAGGTCACCAGTTCTTCCGTGGTCCCCAGGCACACGCCAGGCCTCAGCCTGCAGTAATGGGGCAGGGTCGGAGTGCAGTGTATGCAGCCATTCTGGCACCCACCAGCCATGCTTTCTCTCTCACACAGGAGGTGAAGGACACAGTGGATGGGCAGCGCATCCTGGAGAAGAAGGGCAGTGCCGCGGTATGATGGGGAGGTGTCCCAGCACAACCCCCTCCTGCCCTGTAGCCCCCTATCTGCAGGCCCAGTGGGCCTCAGTCCCCATCTTTTCCCCTGTTCCCCCAAAGCTCAAGGACCTCAAGCGGCAGCTGCACCTGGAGCGGAAACGGGCGGATAAGCTGCAAGAGCGGCTGCAGGACATCCTCACCAACAGCAAGAGCCGCTCCGGTGAGGGATGCAAACCCCGGAATGCTGAGGCCTGGGAGGCAGAGTTTGGGCTTGAATATCAGAGCTCCTTCCTGTACCTCACTCCAGCAGCTCTGTTGAATCTTCTGTCCCTCTTGAACTTTGTCTTTTCCCTTTTCACTGCATCTGTATCTCTCCTCTGTTTTTATCTCTCTCTGCATTATCTCTTTCTGTATCCCGGTCTTTCTCCTTTTTGTTGTGTCTCTTGTGTTTCTGTCTCTCTCTGCCTCCTCATGTCATCTCTCTCTGTATCTGCCTTTCTCTCCCTTTTTCTAGTTCTCTCCTGTTCTTTTGCCTTTTTATTCTCTGTCCCTTTAACTCTTTGTCTCTCTTCTACCTCTGTCTCTTCTCTCTCTGTCTTTTGTCTGTTTATGTCTCTCTCTCTGTTGCCCCATAAGACGCAGTGACGGCTCTGGTGCATCTCCCATGTCACAGACTCAGAGAAAACTTGCTCTCTGTCCCCCCACAGACATCCTGCTCTTGCTGGAGATCCTTAGGGTGTGGTGTCAGTCTCCCTCCCTGACACCCCGAAGCAGCTGCAGGAGCAGAGGCCTGAGCACAGTGGCCATGTTTTAAGTGACATGGCAAAAACAAATGTGTCTCTCAGCAAATCAATGTCTCTCCGAGGCACTCTGTCTCCTGAAGTAAACTCTCTTTGTAAAGTATGGGTTTGGTTTCTCTTTTGCTACAGATTAATGTATGAATCAACAAACACATTCAAATTATGTGCCATACATTATCCTTGCCCATTAGATGAAATTCAGATTTAGGTACATGGCTACAAGAGTCCATCTCCAAATTTTCCTCTATCTTTTCTCTGACTCATGTCCTTATTCAGGGTCTCTGCCTCTGTCACCTACTCCAGCTTGCTGTCTCTTTAGGGGTTTCTCTTTGCATGTGGATGTGCCTGTGCCCTCTCCAGCTGTCTGTACCCTGAGTCTGAGTGCCAATGCCACTTTATGCCTGTGTGTGTTCACATCATCATCTTTCTCCTCATCTCTTCACCTTTGTTTCTCTTCTGGTGTGTGTGGGTTTGCCTAGAGAGGCAGCTCCTTTTTCTGTTTCTTCCTCTCCCTATCCTCTTGTCTGCTCGAGTGTCATTTTGCCTCTTTCCATCTCTGTCAAATCTATTTCTGCCTCTTCCTGCCAGTCGCTGCCCTGGGACCCTGGGGGATTGGGGCTCAGGTTTCTCTTCCGTCTCTGCTCAGGCCTTGAGGAGCTGGTTCTCTCAGAGATGAATTCACCAAGCCGGACCCAGACTGGGGACAGCAGTAGTGTCTCCTCCTTCAGCTACCGGGAAATCTTGCGAGAGAAGGAGAGCTCAACCATTCCAGCCAGGGTAAGGGGCAAGGAAGAGCCTACAGCCCCAGCTTTACCTACCCAAAATCTGGAGCCGTCTTTCCCTCCCTTGCAACCATCTCTTACTCTGGGCCCAGCACACATATTTCCTTGTCAACTTTTCCCCAAGCTCACCAACTTAGATTCCCATTGCTAAGTAGGGGATGGGCAACTTATTCTCTCTGACCCTCTGTTTCATCATCTGTGGGCTAACGCCACCTTTCCTGGTGCCATAAAATATGTGGTTCATATTAGGTACATCATCCATGTAGGTGGTCTTTTTTTCTAACTCATAATTATCCTTGTTATTGTCATCTTATCATGTCATATTCCTAGCCAGCTACTTTTATTTGGAAATAACTTTTTTATTATTCCATATGTGTTCATTGTAGAAAAATTTTAAAAACACAGATGAGCAAAAATGTTTTTAAAAATCCGAAGAAACCACATCTTCACCCAGCTATTACCACTATAAATCCTTAATGCATACCCTTCCAGGCTGCTCTCTCTTTTTTTAAGCCTAAAGGAGATTATAAGGAACCTGTTTGTGCTCAGCTGATCTCTGCCCTCCCAATTTGGTAAATTTTCATCTCATCTAATACTTTAACCTTAATCAGATTTCTCTAGTTGGCCCCAAAATGTCCTTTATTGCTGGTTTTCTGAAAACCAGCATTCAGTTTCAGAGCACATGTTGCATCTGGTTGGTGTATGTTTCTTAAGCCTTTTGAATCTAGTATGCTCCCTTTTTCCATGACACCAACCTGTTGACCTATAGAAAGTGTCCCCCCTTTTGGATTTTCCTACAGGCTTCTTGATGATATCCTTTAGCTGGTTTCTCCCCTAGTGTTCCTGTCAACTAGAAGTTAGGTCACATGTGCTGTGGGCTCTCTCTTTATCCTCTCCATAAGGCTATGATGTGGTGGTTCCTATCTCCCCCTTCAGGGAAAAGGGGATCCAGAGTCTCTGTGGGTGCCAAGACTTGTCTACGGCTCTGGGTGCAAAGCCCACTCTCCTTAGCTTGGTTCTTCTTCTCAGCCGGCCTCTCCCCTCTTCTTCCCTGCAGTCCTTATCCAGCAGCCCTCAGGCCCAGCCCCCGCGGCCAGCAGAGCTGTCAGATGAGGAAGTGGCTGAGCTTTTTCAGCGCCTGGCAGAGACACAGCAGGAGAAATGGATGCTGGAGGAAAAGGTGCTGTCTGCCTGCTTGTCCTTACTTGGCGTGCCCTTGGCGAGGAGGCAGGGGTGGGGGAGTTGATATTCAGCCAACCCCTCCCCATGTGTGAACATGTACAGTCGAGGGGTCTGAGGTGGGCTGCGCCACCCCACAGGTGAAGCACCTGGAGGTGAGCAGTGCCTCCATGGCAGAGGACCTCTGCCGGAAGAGCGCCATCATTGAGACCTACGTCATGGACAGCCGGATCGGTCAGTGCCTCCTCCTCACCCCTCATCTAGCCTCTCACCTCCTCCCTCCTTCCACTGTCCAGTGCTACAGATTCTCTCCTATCCTCTTGGAACTTAGCAAAGTTACTGACAAGACCACAGCTGGCAGAAGGGAGAGCAGGGCAGGCCCATACTCTGTGTGTCTTTTTCTCTATTCTCTCTTCTCTTGGTTCCTCCCTCCTCTCTGGGTCTCTGCCATCTCTTCATTCCTTTCTCTGGCATGTCTCTCTGACCCCTTTCTTCTCCCTGTGTCTCTTCCTCTTCTCCTCTCCCCCTTCTGTCTTCTCCCTGTCTCTTATTTCTTCTCCATCTCCCCTTCATCTTGTCTCATCATTCCTGTCTATATTGTTCCATCTCTAGAAATATTCCTTCTCTGTATGTGTATCCCTTTGGGGTTCTTATCTCTTCCTCATCTTTCTCCCTCCCCTCTCCTCTCCCTCCCCTCTCCTCCTCTCTCCTCTTTCCCCCCCATCTTTGTTTCTTTTGCTCCTTTCAAACCTTTTCATCCCCCCTTTTTTCCTTATGAGTCAGAATAATACTGACTGGCATATGCTGAGAGCTGACGATGTGCTCTGTGCTTCACATGCAGTCATATACATTTTTCCCGCTCCATGAGTTCGTTAGTTATCCCCATTTTTCAGGGCCTCACAGCTAGTGTCAACCAAGGTTCACATGGCTCAGCCTCTGCCCCTTACATGACATGGCTCGTCCTCCTACTTTTCTCCGCCACTCTGTTTCCCTCTTTTCTGCTCTGTATCCGGCTGTCTCTCCTCTGGCTCTGCCGAGGGGGTGGCTCTCAGCCTGGTGCCTTGCAGATGTGTCTGTGGCAGCAGGCCACACAGACCGCAGCGGGCTGGGCAGTGTCCTGAGAGACCTAGTGAAGCCAGGTGACGAGAACCTTCGGGAGATGAACAAGAAGCTACAGAACATGCTGGAGGAGCAGCTCACCAAGAATATGCATCTGCACAAGGTGAATGTGGCCTACCAGCCCGCCCATCTTCCCATCCAGCCACCTGCCTCCCTAGCCACACAGCCCCTAGGTCATCTGCCAGTCCCCCACCCACTCACCGCATTCACCAACCACTCCTTCATCCTATCTTCCCATCCTCCCGTCAACTTACTATTGTCAGTTTAGTCATTCACTCTTCCCTGTGTCCTTGCATCCACCTCACTCATCCATTCATACACACATCCACCCAACTCTCCCTTCAACCCACCCTACTATTTGCCCATCTGCTCTCTACCCATCTAATCATCTGCCCCATGTCTCCACCCATTTCCTGACCTACCGCTCTCTCTTGCTTACCTACTCACCAATCACCCCTTGCCATAGCTTTTCCTCACCCATCCAGTGATGTGCCTGCTTACCTGTTGTCCTCTATCTGTCCTCTGAACAGTTCATTTGTTCACCTACTTGCCTACCATGGATCCCCCATGCATCCACCCACACATCCACTTGCCCATCCTGCCACCCAAATATTTCCCCCATCTATGGGGGGTCAGAAAGGATGTAGATCTGGCCCCTGCTTCTGAGAAGCATGCTCACCATTTAGTAGAAAGAAGGTGTCAAGGGCGGGGGTCATATCCTCCAGCACACCATGCATGCTAGCTTTTCCACTCCCATATTTATACCCCTAGCTCCAGAGGCTCCTACTCCCTCACACACGCACCTTTCCCAAGCCCAGCTCACTGCTGGGGGCTCAATGAGCTTCTCCAAATACCTTCCTGTTCCAGGCTAGACATAGCTGGGCATTGATTAATAGGGTCAGAAGGATGACACCCCAGGCTTGGGGAGGGAGCTTCCCCCGCTGCCCTCTCTGGCCCCTGATGGCTCGTTTGTTTCTTAGGACATGGAAGTTCTGTCCCAGGAAATTGTGCGGCTCAGCAAGGAGTGCGTGGGGTCCCCTGACCCAGACCTAGAACCAGGAGAAACCAGCTAAAGACCTGCAGGCTGACCCCACTTCCTCTCCTCCTCACCCCGCAGGATACCATTCCCTTGGGCTGTGGTGGGGAAATGGGGGCCGGCACCAGTATCAAATAGGTTGGACATTAAAGAGGTTGAAGGCCTGATGGCTGGTGTTAATAACCCTGTATTAGAGCAGTGGTCCCTGGGGGAGTGAGGACCCTGAGGGGAGGGGCAGGGATTTCTCCTCCTCCTTGGCCCTGGTTCTCAGGGCCCTTTGCCTTCATCTCTGCATGGGCTCTCCCTTCCAGAGACCAACTCTTTTTTCATTTTATTTTATTTTTTAATTTATGTCTGGAAGCCTGGCTACTCTGCATTTGAGATTGGAGATTTTGGGTGTGGCGCAGTCCGTGTTCAACATTCTGACAACGTGTGTGTGTGTGTGTGTGTGTGTGTGTGTGTGTGTGTGTGTGTAAAGGCTGTGCAGCCAAAATACCATCTGGCCAAATGGGCCCACCCCCTGACTGACTGCTCTCATTCTTTTCAACCAGGAGGGATGTGCTGGGGGTGGTAAGGTTGGAATGGGGAGGGAGGTCTCTGGCTGCCACTTTGCTCTTCTTCCACCACCCTCACCCAGCGTGTCTCCAGTTACTCTTGCCTAGCCCCTCAAACTGAGTGGAGCAGAAATATCTGCAGATATGTACATGGGTGAATGTGTATGAGTTGTGGATTTGGATGAGTGGGCAAATGGGAGGATGGACTGATAGATAAATAAGTGGAAGGTTGCATGGCTTGATGGATAGGTTGGGAAATAAATTGACAGTAGATGGATAGGTGATTGGATGAATGAATGGGTGGATAGGTAGAGGATAGACAGGTGGGGATATAAGTGGACAGATGGTGGATGGTTACGGGCCTGTCTAGATGGATGAGTGGGCAGATGGATGGATGAGCTAATGAATGGGAAGAGTGGGTGAATAAATTATGGGCGGGGCTATGGATGGATAGACAGAGGGATACGTATAGATAGGTTGGTGAATAGTTAGGTGGATGGGGTGAATATACAAATGGATGAGTGAGTGGGTGGGTGGATTAATGACTAAATGGACAGATGGATGGGTAGAGTAATTGGTTGTATGGGTGGCAGAATGGATTGGTAGGTGGGTGGTGGGTGGGTAGAGGGATGGACAAACGGACAAATCAGGAGTGTGATGAGCGAGTGAATGGAGGATTACATGGAGGTAAATCAATTAAAAGGCTAAAGTTGGCCCTGCATTACTGCTCCCCAGTGCCACACACATTTAATTACTAAAGACGAGGCCTCTGTGTGCCATACCCTGTGCCATCCCCTTTCACATCACTCCAGTTAATGCTCCCAGTGACACTATCAAGTTGGGGTAACTCTCCATCTGACAACTGAGGAAACAGTGCAAGTCACTTGCTCAAGGACATGGCAAGACAAGTTGGCGGCAAAGCTCTGGTTTGAATCCATCCATGCTGGAGGCACTCGGTACCCTGTGCTCTTGCCACCTGGAGCAGAGCCCTCTAGCAGAGGAGGCATGATCTGAGGCTCCTGGATGTGGACAGATGAGTGAGACTGCCCCTCAGAGTGGGGCCGGCCTGGGAGAGAACCTGGTATGAGGGTGGGACCTGCCATGTCCTCATTTACACCCCTTTCACCCCCTATTTCACATGCGAAAACAGAGGAGGATGGTGCTCCAGTCCCAAGGCAGCAAGCTTGGTTAGAGCTGGGCTGTAACCCACACACCCCCCCGGGAGCAGCTTCAGGGCCTGGTCATCTAGAGAAATGCCCCCAACCCCAGCCTTCTCTAGCCTTGGGGGGCAGGGAGGGGACACAGCGCTGCATCATTCCCGGTGGCACTCCGCTCTAGGGCCATTAACAGACGCCTCCCCATCGATCGCATCTGCTAAGTGCTGCTGATTCAGACTGGTGGGGGTGGGGGCCCCTAGGGGCAGAGGGGGTAGAAGCTGGGCAGGAAGAGGGGGGAGTCCAGGAAGGAGGTGGGCAGAACTGGCAAAGCTCCCTACCACCCCCATTTTCCAGATGACGCGACTGAGGCCCAACCAGCTTTGTAGGAGGCGGAGTCTCCCCAGGGTCCCTCTCAGGCGGTCCTAGGGGAGGGGGCTCTGGGAGCCACGAGGCCCCTCCCTGCGTCTCTTCCTCTCCCGGCAAGCTCAGAGGGGCGGGGAGAGAGCCAGAGGAGGAGTAGAGCTCAAGCAGCTCTGCAGAGGGGGGCAGGAGCTCCGGTGTTTGGCACCCCCAGCCCCACCGCTGTTGCCGCTGCTGCAGTGGGGACACAGGTGAGGTTGGCCCTGTGGGGAGTGGGAGGGGTCCACCAACATCGCTGTCCTTGCCCATCCCTGGTCCAGCCCCCACGCCCTATCCCATCCTGGGGACAGTGCCCCAGGGTCCTGCTGGACCTTGTCCTTCCAGAGACCCAGCCCCCTCCCCTGCCTGTGCTGCCTTCTCTCCCAGGCCTGGCTGTAGCTGCTTCTCTTCCTAATCCTGCTGCCTCTGCTGCTACTGCCGCTGCCTAGCACACACCACCAGCCCCTCGGGGTGTGGTTTCCCCAGACCAGCCCCCAGCAGTGGGACGCAGACTTATCCGAAGCTCCCCCGCCAGCCTCTTGCAAGGCCCAGCAGCCCTCCTTCCTGGAGACACACCCAACTCCCTTCCAACACCCTACCCCGCTCTCCAACCCATTTTTGGAAGAACCCCCTCTTCCTCTTATCTTAGTCGTATTTGAACCTCTGGGTACTCTGGGTCTGTGCCCAACTTCCAATTGAGCCCTAGCACCGTGGAACTCCCCAGGCCCCTTTCTTGTCCCTGGAACTCTTGAGAAGGCAGACCAGGCTTTCTCAGACCCGCTAGATACCCCTCTCACCAGACACCTCCCAGTCCCTGAAAATGAACCCAGCCCCATATCTGCCCCTATAGATACCCCACTCCCTTCTCCGGTCCCAGTAGGGGCCCACCTCTCCTTCCTTCCCCAGAACTCCTGTAGAATGTAGACACCCCCCACAGGCTATTCTTGGCAGCTCTAGGCACTCCCAAGACACCTCTCAGCCTCTTTACAAACTCCTGGCTCTATAGACACCCGTTAGATACACCAACCCCTTTCCTAGGTCTCCAAAGGACTCCAAACCCCTGATCCTTTCCCCAGAAGTCTTGAGGGTGTGGACAACCCTCCTCACCTTTCTCAGCCCCTCTAGAACCGCTCCCCCCTCCAGACACTCTTAGCTTCTTTCAAACACCCGTGGTCCCATTTCTACCCCTCTGGTGACCCAATCCCCTCTCCAACCCCACTAAGGGGTTCTAGTCCCTTCTTCCTTCCCTTAGAACTCTTGAGAGTGTGGACAGCTCCCCAGTGTTTCTTGCCGCCACTTGACACCCCCCCACACATCTCTCAGGCACATGCTGACCCCTCTAGAATCTTCTTAGTCTCCCTAAACACTCCATCAGATCCTTCTCAGCCCCTCTAGACGCCCCTTTTCTGCTCCTCTCCATATTCCCTAGCCCCTTCTCAGTTCCTCAAGACATCGCCAAGGTCCTTCCCAGACCCTCTAGATGCCTCCCAAGCCCCTGCCCCTATCTCTAGTTCCTCCTCCAGGTTCCTCTTGGCCTCTCTAGACACCCCCAGTTTCCTTGTGCGAGTGGCCCAGGGCCTCTCCAAGCACCCACCATCCTGGAGACAGCCACATTCTCCTAAAGGCCACCCCCCTCAGTCTCTGAGGGCCTGGGGCTAGCGGCAGGATGGCGGCAGGTGTGGCCACGTGGCTGCCTTTTGCGCGGGCAGCCGCAGTGGGCTGGCTGCCCCTGGCCCAGCAGCCCTTGCCCCCGGCGCCAGGGGTGAAGGCTTCTCGGGCAGATGAGGTTCTGGTGGTGAACGTGAGCGGACGGCGTTTTGAGACCTGGAAGAACACGCTGGACCGCTACCCAGACACCCTGCTGGGCAGTTCAGAGAAGGAATTCTTCTATGATGCCGACTCGGGCGAGTACTTTTTCGATCGCGACCCGGACATGTTCCGGCATGTGCTGAACTTCTACCGCACAGGCCGCCTGCACTGCCCGCGGCAGGAGTGCATCCAGGCCTTCGACGAAGAGCTGGCCTTCTACGGCCTGGTGCCTGAGCTCGTCGGTGACTGCTGCCTCGAAGAGTACCGGGACCGCAAGAAGGAGAACGCCGAGCGCCTGGCGGAAGACGAGGAGGCCGAGCAGGCTGGGGATGGGCCAGCCTTGCCGGCCGGCAGCTCCTTGCGCCAGCAGCTCTGGCGGGCCTTTGAGAACCCACACACGAGCACCGCAGCCCTGGTCTTTTACTACGTGACTGGCTTTTTCATCGCCGTGTCGGTCATCGCTAATGTGGTGGAGACCATCCCGTGCCGCGGCCCTGCGCGTCTGCCCTCGAAGGAGCTGCCCTGTGGTGACCGCTTCCCGCTGGCCTTTTTCTGCATGGACACGGCCTGTGTGCTCATATTCACGGGTGAATACCTCCTGCGGCTGTTTGCCGCCCCCAGCCGCTGCCGCTTTCTGAGGAGTGTAATGAGTCTCATCGACGTGGTGGCCATCCTGCCCTACTATATCGGGCTTTTCGTGGCCAGGGACGATAATGTCTCAGGCGCCTTTGTCACCCTGCGTGTGTTCCGGGTATTTCGCATCTTCAAGTTCTCTCGGCACTCACAGGGCTTGCGGATTCTGGGCTACACACTCAAGAGCTGTGCCTCTGAGCTAGGCTTTCTACTCTTTTCTCTTACCATGGCTATCATCATCTTTGCCACTGTCATGTTTTATGCCGAGAAGGGCACAAACAAGACCAACTTTACTAGCATCCCTGCGGCCTTCTGGTATACCATTGTCACCATGACCACACTTGGGTGAGTGCAGACCCTGTGTTGGGAGCTGCCCAATCAGTCCATAACACTCACCTTTTCTATAAAAGTAAGAAAGTTAGGTAAATGATCTCTTTCTATATGAGCTTCAGATTGCTCATCTGTAAAAACTGAGGGAGTTGGACTAATCTTCAAATCCTGCCCAGCTCTTACAGTGCCTTGATTTTCCAGGTCAAGAGACTTGGGTTCAAAGATTGTCTTAGCTATACTCTTTTTGTTGACCTTGTTTTCTCGGGGTCTGTTTTCGCCTCTGTAAAATGAGAAATGATGATCCCTTTTGAGGGACTTCAGTGACATCGTGGCTGTAAAAGTTCCCTGAAAGTTTCTAGTGCAGGATAAATAGGTATTGGTTTTCTATGACCTCCTTTTCCATCTTGAGGACCCATGGCTCTCAACCCTCTAGAATCATCTGCTTTCAACCCTCTAGGGGCACTACCTCTGTGGCTTTGTGATTCCTTGATGTTCCCCAGAATGAGATATTTTCAGCATCATTGTTTCAAATTCCAGTCCTTGAGAGGAAATGGTTGGGATTAAAGCATCAAATGGAATCACCAAACTCATGTTGTTCTTCAAGACACTGTCTAGGGCAGAGACCGTAGTCCTTTTCTAAATTCCCATCACCGGGAATAGGTATACAGTTGCTTCTCAGTATCTGTTGAATGGATAAATTGGGCTTGCTCAGTGCCTTAACAGAGGTACAGAAAAATTGATTTGAGGTGTCTAAGGAGTAGAAATTAATTTCGGTTGGAGGTTCAGGATTGAGTAAACAAACAAATATTGAGCATTGAGAATGGGTTGGAACTGGGTATTCTGATGCCTTTTACCCTGTTCAGTTTTCACGACAACCCTGGGAGGGTGGGTGACTGCCCGTGTCTCCTAGTTGAGAACAGTCTGAGATGACACATCACAGAGCCAGAAATGGCCAAGTTGGAGAGATTTTTAAAATGAGTTAAAACAAAGAAATAAGGAAAAGCCATCCCATCCTGGGGAGGAAGGAGGCACAGCTTGAGCAAAAGCCTAGAAAGACTTAAGACTGCAGAGGCTGCGTTTTTGTGGAGGGGATCTGATTGGTCCTATGGTTAGGACAAAAGTATGCTGTGTGATCTTGAGCAAGTCAGTTATGGAACCCCCCCGTCCCAAGCTTTGGTTTTTGCTGCCTCTGTGAAACAAGGTGGTAAGATTGGCTCTGATCCATCTCCATAGGAAGGGGGTTGGTAGAGAAAGGGAGGGGGGAGTTTCAAGGCTCCCCCCTATTTTTTCATTTGAGGACAGTTTCAAGGCTTCCCCTGGGAGAATAAGAAGGGGTCCTACCTAGAGAAAGTAGGACAGATGCAAGCAAAACCAACAGAGCATTGCTCCCAGGACAGAGCCCTTCATCTGGCTTGTGGTAGTGGAACTCCCCAGGAGGCTATGTTTACTGCCTGTGATTTCCTCCTTCTCCCCTATGCTTGGTATTAATAGATTTCCAGCTGACTCAGATGCCCGGTGCGCAGCTCAGATAGGGGCAGCAGATTGTAGGGGCTGAGGGCCCATTTCTCACTTGACCCCCACTGGTGGCCAGAAAGGTCATTCCTCACATTTTGCAGAGCAAGAAACAGGCTCAGAGAGTTTGAGTGCATGGCTAGAGTCACAGCGTGAGTAGGGTTGGATAGAATGAAGTGGGGGACTGAGGGAGGGGTGGGCACTTTTCTTGACCTTGGTTTACCTCCTCTGGCCCAGCTATGGAGACATGGTACCCAGCACCATTGCTGGCAAAATTTTCGGATCCATCTGCTCACTCAGTGGCGTCTTGGTCATTGCCCTGCCTGTGCCAGTCATTGTGTCCAACTTCAGCCGCATCTACCACCAGAACCAGCGTGCTGATAAGCGCCGAGCACAGCAGGTAGCTAGCTGCTCCTTCCATCTGAGCACCTCCTATTTCCCCCCAACCCCAGTCAGTCAGTCACCTCTTGTGTTTACCTACCTGAACTTTTCTGTCCTCTCTTTGTAGAAGGTACGCTTGGCAAGGATCCGGTTGGCAAAGAGTGGTACCACAAATGCCTTCCTGCAGTACAAGCAGAACGGGGGCCTTGAGGTGGGTAGGGCCCAAATTGGGGTTGGGCGTGAGCAGTGATGGGAGGAGGAAGATGCTAAACTCATCCCTCTGCTCCATCCATTCCAGGACAGTGGCAGTGGGGAGGAACAGGCGCTGTGTGTCAGGAACTGTTCTGCTTTTGAGCAGCAGCATCACCACTTGCTGCACTGTCTAGAGAAGACAACGGTGAGGCCTAACGAGAGGTGGCGAGGCAGAGTGAAGGGGGGGCCCTCTGCCACCAAGCCAGCTCCCTCCCTTGGATGAGAGGCTCACTGCTAATTGTGGAAATCTCAGAGTTTCCTGGAAGGGGCCCCAATAGAGCTGAGCCTTGAAGGGTAAACAAGGGAAGGGAAGAGAGAATGACTTCCAGAAAGGTCTAAGCAAAGGCCTGGGCGTAGGGGCAGCTCCTTTGTGGTGACGTGTGACCATGCCTCCCTTCTTCCCATAGTGCCATGAGTTCACAGATGAGCTAACCTTCAGCGAGGCCCTGGGCGCAGTTTCGCTGGGTGGCCGTACCAGCCGCAGCACCTCTGTGTCCTCCCAGCCAATGGGGCCTGGCAGCCTGCTATCCTCTTGCTGCCCCCGCAGAGCCAAGCGCCGTGCCATCCGCCTTGCCAACTCCACTGCCTCAGTCAGCCGTGGCAGCATGCAGGAGCTGGACACACTGGCAGGGCTGCGGAGGAGCCCTGTGCCTCAGAGGTAAGCACTCCCCACCAGCTGGCCACCCCTGGAGAAGCTTAGAGCTTGGACCAGAGGATCAAAGATTTCATGACTCCAGGCCTAGCAAGTAAAGTTCGAACCCAAACTCTCCCATCCTGGGAGCTTGGATTTATGTTGTCTGGAAACTCCTTGTTTTCCATTTGTTCTTGCAACAGACGTTTATTGAGCACCTACTATCTGCCAGGCAGAGTTTTAGGCACTTTGGAGTTCACTTTAGGAGTTTAGGAATTTCGTTCACCTTAGGCAGTGAATAGAACATGCAGAAATCCCTGACCTTCTGGAACTTATATTCTAGTAGGATGTAACCATTAACAAACAAAGAAATACATAGATGATGTAGTGTGTTAAGTGCAAAGGAGGAAAATAAATCAGGAATGGGAGATAGAGAATGTAGAACAGGGTGTGATGTAGTTTTGTGTTGTCAGGGAAGGCTTTGCTAAAGTGACATCTGAGCCAAAACCTGAAGGAAGCTAGGGAGTGAGCCATGTATATATCTAGAGAAAGAGCTTTCCAGGCAGAGCAAACAGCCTGTGAAAAGTCCCTGAGGCAGGAATAGGTCTGTATGTCTCTAACACGAGACACAGCCAGGGAGCTACTGTGAATAGAGTGGAATGAGTGAGAGACAGAATGGTAGAAGGAAAAATCAGAAAGGAACAGGGACTAGATTGTGTAGTTCTTACTGTAGACTACTGTGAGGACTTTGAATTGTCAGGAGTAACCATAATAGACAACATTTTTTTATATGTGTGCTCATTATGTTCCAGGCACTATTCTGAGCACTTCGTATCATTTATTAACTCATTTAATCTCTACAAGAACCTTATGACATAGGAAATATAGCAGGTCCTTAAATAACACCATTTTTTATGATGTTGATGAGATGCCTAGGAACTTTACCCTTGTTTATATCAATTAGCCTATGGTAAAATTGGTTTTGTTATATGTCGTTTCACTTAAAAATCACAGAACATATTGACCCTGTTAAGTGAGGACCTACCGTATTGTTATTCCCATGCTACAGATGAGAGAAAAGAGAGGTTTAGAGTGGTAAAAGTGGGACCAGGATTTGAAACCAGGACTCTGATTCCAGAGCACTTACTCTGCACTACCGTAATTGAGGGTGCAGGGAAAGCATTTAGCACAGTGCCAGCAACCCAGTAGGCACTTAATAAATGTCATGATTGCTGTGGAAAGTATTAAGATGACTTTTTAAGAACCTTCCATGTTCCCATCCTTATCCGTAGCCGCTCAAGCCTCAATGCCAAGCCCCATGACAGCCTTGACCTGAACTGCGACAGCCGGGACTTCGTGGCTGCCATCATCAGTATCCCCACCCCTCCTGCCAACACCCCAGATGAGAGCCAACCCTCCTCCCCTGGTGGCAGTGGCAGTGGTGGAGCCAGCAACACCCTCAGGAACTCCAGCCTGGGTACCTCTTGCTTCCTGCCTGAGACTGTCAAGATCTCTTCCCTGTAAGGGGTAGACCTGCCCATCCAGAGGGCCCTCTTGATTCTTGGGGACTCCTTTCCAAAGCCATATTTTAGGGAGGCAGACAGGGACAGGCCTGGGGACCCCTTCTGCCCCCCACTGAGAACTATGCAATGGAGTTTCATGGAATCGCCCACCTTGTGAGGACGTAGCCAGGGAAAGGGGCACTTCCCCACCTCAGACAGTTTTCCTGGTGGTAGCTGAATCATTGGCCTCCTTGCCCGAGCACACTGGGATCAGACCCTGTCTCCCAGCTGGTCTCCTGCATGCTCCTCCCCTTGGGCCCTCAGGCTCCCACCTGACATCTGAGCTCTGGCCTGAGAAGAAGAGGTGAGACTTCCTCTTCTCTCTGGCTGGGATGTGGAGGTTTGGTTCAGAGAAGAGAAACATCACCTCTGATCTGGCCCCTAGGAGAGGTCCCCAAACTTCACCAGGCCCAACAACTCCCAGATTCTGAAGCTTGGAATGCAACCACAGGCTTCATGGGCTGTGGCCTCAGCAGTGACCTGCTACCCCCAGGCCTTGGCTCAGGGGTCAGGCTTCCTCTTATAATACACAAAGATAGCACAAACACTAACCCCCTTCCCTGGCTGCTGAAAATGGGTCCCCACAACCCTGTCCTCCGCTGGGCCCTCAGCAAACTCTAGCAATAGCAACTGCTGCCATGACATTATGCAAAGCCTCTGCCCAGTTTGCTGCAGTATTTACATCTGCCCTAATCAGAGGGGCCACCTCTAATACTCCTCCTCTCTGCTCCTCTGGTTTGCTTCCTTCCTGGGTTGGGCTGGAGTCTGGACTGGCTGAGATAAGCACCTGGCAGCCAGCGAGGGCTGGGCTGGGTTTGGAGATCATGGGCTGATTCCATGTTCTTGGGCAGGAGTCCAGAGGGCTGAGGCCTGGGTTGTTCTTGAACTCTGGGAGTTGTAGGAGGCAGGGGGAACTTCTTGATCTCCTCGTCGTCCTCCTCCTCCCCCACAATGCCTTTGCACATATCCCTCTTTCTTCTCCCTCTTGGGTCACCTTCTGGTACTCTGTGTTTGTTCTCAGGCTGATATCTAGCATCATCTCAGGTTCCCTGTCCCCAACACTGTCCCTGTGGAGCTGGTGGCTGACAAAGATGTAGTTTCCATCAGTCAATAAAACCTGAGAGGAGAGATGGGGATGAGCACCTCCTGGCTCTGTGGGTTTGGGGGCTGGGTTGGGCTGGGTGTTGGAAAGTACTCTGATTTCAATTCCTTTCAACTATTAGAAGGGCTGGTGTGGGTAAAGGTATGGGAGATGGATGCCTGGTGACATATTATGGAAGATTGGGATCTAGGAGAAATGAAAACGGGGCAGTGGGTTGAAGAGTTGAATCTCCAGCCAGTGAGGCAGGTTAGAAGGTCCTGAGACATGACCACTTAGACATCATCTGTTCTAACTCCCTCACTCACAAATGGGGAGACTGAGACCCAGAGCAGCACACGTTTGGTTAGGGGAGACTTAAACTCAGGTTTCTTGATAGCAAACGGTTCTGAATTGAACCCTGATGAAACGCATCTCTCAGTGTGGCAAATTACCCTTCCTTGTGGATGTCCCCTATATTTTGTCTTCTGGGATACTGAGTACACTACGCTAGTGTGTGAATGAGCTGTGTGGAGCATCAAGAAGACAGACCTTGGGGGGCCAGCCGAGTGGCTCAGTTGGTTAAGAGCTCGCTCAAGAGTGCGAGCTCTGAACAACAGCGGTTCGATGACCGGCCGGAGCTGAGCTGCTGCTGAGCTGCCAACAGGTGGCAGGATAGCTCAGCTAAAAAAAAGAAGACAGACCTCGTATTCAGGGACATGGGTTCCAATCCCTGGGAGAGAGAATTACCATATTTTGCCATGCATAATGCACTCCCATGTATAATGCATATCTACATTTTTGGCCCAAACTTTCAGGGGAAAAAATTCTTTTGTTTTAATTTTTTAATTCAAATTTTTATTTGTTTACATTTAGGTACTTGTTTTTTGTATTATAAAGGAATTTTAGCATTTATTTTTTAACATTTTGTGGTACAAGCAATTTTATGTAACAAATAATTACAAAACACATGAACAGATACAAGGTACAAGGAATTTTATGTACCTGTAACAAATTTACAATATTTACGCATCATAGAAGGCCAAGAACTCTTTGTCCTTGCAGGTGCATTTTAAGTTCAACAAAACTGATTATCGTATTCCAGGGTATTATTTTGCATATGGATATTGTTACTGATTTCTAGAGTTACACTTTTAACTCTTAAACATAAATAAAAGAATTAAAAACATTTATATAGATATGGAATTAGTACTACCCATGTATAATGTGCATCCTTATTTTTCCCTCACAAATTTGGGCAAAAAAGTGTACATTATACACAGCAAAACACGGTACCTTGTCTTGTCTCAAGCTGCTAATCTGTGAAACAGATAATCATTATTTTATTCACCAAATGTTTATTAACTGCATATCATATGCTAGCCCTAGGGGTACAAAGATAGGCAAAGTAGACATCATCTCTGATCTACAGAGGTGAGCATGGAAGGTAACGAAGCAATTACAATACAGTGCAGAACTAAGATCAATGGATTACAGAAGCATGTATTAATAGATGCAGGAAAATGTCACACAAAGAATGAGCTGGAGTTGGTCAGGCAAAAGACAAAAGGATGAAAATGTTTCACGCAGAGAGAACAGCATATACAGATGACTTACAGGTTAGAGAGTGAACTTGGGGCCTTTGGGAAATTCAAATTAGTTGAGTACAGCTGGAGAGGAGAGTGTGCGGCTGTGATAAGGGGTAGGATGTAGAGGTAAGGCAGATCACAAAAGGCCTTTGAAGGTAGGATACAGATTTTGGATTTCATCCTAAGGATAATGGGACCGCCTAAGGTTTATAAACAGGAAAGTCATTGTAAGTCGAAGAAAGATCATCCTGGCTGTGGAGAGTGGATTCTAGAGAAATGGTCCTGGAGCAAGGAAGACGACTGAGGAGGCTTTTGCAGTGGTCTAGTAGGTAGGTGGTCTATTTGGTAGGTGCTGGTGGCTTGGATCAGGTAGTGGCAGTAGCAGTTGGAGACTCAAGAGATTTGAGAGGTAGAATTGGCAGGGCTTGGGATTGACAAGCATCTGGGAGTTGAGGAAGAGGGAGCAGTCAAGGCTAACTCCTAGGTTTCTGGTTTGGGCAAAAGCTGAGTGGGGGTGCCATTCAATGCCAAAGGGAACATCACAGAGCCAAGCACATAGTAAGTACTTGGTAACAATTAGTTACAATTATTATCATAAGTTCCATTTTAGATGTGTGGTTCTGGACAAATATCCAGAAGGGAGTGGAATATATGGGTTGAGTGAGATGGTTATGAAAAGATCCCATGCATAGGCATTGGGCATAATGACCTGAACAAAACAGGCCCAGTTAACGTGAGTTCTCCCCCATTAGGTTTCATGAACAGAAAACACAATAGTTATTACTGACACCCTTCAGGGAAGACTTCAACTAGGGTTGGCCTCTGAAGGGAGAAGGTTAGGTGGCTTTCTGATGGTCTCTCTTTCAGTCCACTGGTTGTATGTCTTGGCTCCTAAGATGTAGGGAACCCTAACTTCGCACAACACCTTGGTTCGCGAGCTCTTCAGAACCTCATAACTACTCCCTAAGGTAGTCTGGGCAGGCATTATTCCCGTTTACACATGGGTAACCTCAAATTTGAGACACAATGGCTTGCTCAAGGTCCTACAGTTGATAATGGTCCATCTATGCATGGAACTGAGGTCTTCCTGACTCCAAAGCCTGGGATCCGTTCTATTGCACTGCCATGCCAACTAATTTATTGACCACTTACATGTGCCAGGAACAGCACCAGACCCTTTACAAGCACGAATATCTGATCCTTAAAATGGAATTATCATGGCCATTTTACAGAGAAATAGAAATTGAGGATGGGGTTGATGTTAAATAACTTGCCAGAGATCACTCAGACAGGAGGGGCAGAGCTAGGATTAGCTAGTAGCTCTCTCTAGCTGCTGAGTGGTAGGGATTTTACCATTGCGAGACGTTGGCAGGTGACACAGTTGGCTGGTTCGTAAAGTTTTGCTCGATCCAGGTAAACTCAGTTATTTTGAGGGGAAGAGGAAAAGATTGTGTCGCGCCTGCGCGGAAGCCACAGGGCGGGGAGGTCAACGCGAGGGCGAGAGTGCAGTGCTGCCAAAGAGGGCGGGTCGGCTTCCCAAACACCACTGTCCCCACGGTTGCATGTCTGTCCCAAGGTTGGCCCGTTTGACGCGAGTGACGGCATGTCTTAGCCAATCACCGCAACACTGGGCCTGTTGCCAGGGTGAAGCGGGGCCCGCCTCTCCACTGGTGTGGATGGATTTGCAGGTGGGTGGGACCGGAACTGACGCTTCAGAGGATTGCTAGGCTCTGGAAGTGTTATTTTCCTGTCAGTCCCACTGACAGCAGCCAAGTTGGGAGCCTGGGAGGGAGGCGCTTTTAAAACTGTCGTGCACAAGGCAGGCCACGCTGTCCTGTCACAGTACCTCCGCCTGTGAGTCAGAGCCTCGGGGACAGAAGTCAACAGCAGGACAGCGCCGACGAGAAGGCCAGGAACCAGAGTGCAGACTTTGACTGAAATCCGAGACGGAGGGCACAAGAGGGCGATCACTGGCTTCTGATTGGTCCGTGGGCGTCAGCAAGGACCCACGCAGCCGCTTCGATTGGTTGGTGCCCGTAATTGTGGCGGCGGCGAAGATTTTTGCCCACGTACTTCCGAGCGAGAGGCGGGGCTGTGCTCTGGTGCGCGTGCGCGGTGCCCCGGGGCCCCACCCGGTAGTTCAAGAACCTGCGAGGGGGCGGGGCGAAGAGGTGCTTGTTTTGGTTCTGTTTCCTTTGAAGCAGAAGGCCGGAACGAGCATAGCAATCAACTTGCCGAACTCGGAGAGAAGGCGACGACGAACTCACTGCGCTACCTTCACCTTGGACTTCACATCCGCGTTCTCCTGTCTCGTGACCCGTGCGCCGCCAACGATTCTCGAACCGGTGCTTTAATCTCTTTATCCGGGTCCCGCCGATCCCGGCGTGCCTCGCGCAGCACAGTAGCCCCCTCATCCGGGTTCTATCCCGGCGTGCCTTGCGC